AGAATTATACAGATTAGAATACACTGTTACAGGCTGTAGGTCAAATTTACTGGTGATGTAAAAGAACAAAATTTCACCCCTGTAAATGGGGTTGCAACTTTGTGGTTCCATTAGTACAGGAATGCAAAGGATTTACATATACTTACAGTCACACTCAAAGCATGTCAACAACTAAAAGTCTGAAGTATAAACTTTCTAGTTAACATGTATACAAAAGTCACATTGCACTGCATGTCAGGAGGGATTTTCAAAACTGTCTAAGTTACCTACTGGTCTAAATTTTGTTGCCTTTCACTAGGACCTGTTCTCTTAAGTCACTAAAATAATTCTGAAGTCCCCAGCCCAGTATAAACACTTTTTGACATACTGGATCACATCACAAATAGCAATGCACATAGCAGATCATGAGCTTCTTACTTCTAGGTGCCTTTCTTCCGGAGAGACATCTGGGTTCTATATCCCATGTCAATGGAGGCAACTCCCTTGCAGCAGCCCTGACTCTGATGCCTAACTTCTAAAGAAGTTCAGATATACTCTTGTGCTTAACATTTCCTATTGGCTAACTCTAGGCAGCTCTCTGTGCAGAGTATAGTTTTTTCTGGATTACTCTTCTGTGGAGTTTAACTCTCCCCCAGCCTGGGGTGCAGGCAGCAATTGTCTAACTCTGGGCTTTGCATTCCACTCCAAGGCTAGGTGTCTAAAAGTTAGGCGCTGCATTGCCATACTTGGAGGAGCCAAAGCCCTGCTATAGACTGGGCCACTTGCATCCTGTGAGTTTGTGATCAGATCTCTCTAGTTCCACTTCAAGTCAAATTAAACCTGGTGAAATTTCATTTACATTCCAAGTTATTCTTTCTTAAGGAGGCCAAAGGAAATAAAGCACACAAACCCGTGTTAAAATGATAAGAGGTTCACCTCTGTCTTTCTAATGCTAAAATCATAGAAAAGTAGAGCTGGAAGGTCACATAGGGAAGGAAGTTTAAAACTAAGGCTTTTTACTTCATCCTTAATTTACTGTGTTTAAGCTATTCAGGAATGGTAAGAGAGGAAGAACAGTAAGATTTCTTGTACAGTATCAAAACATACTTTCACCACATACAACTGTAAGACAAGAATGCTGCTTACTCTGGATAAAACTGCTATAGAATGTAGATGGTATCAGGTGACTCATGTCACCTGTATTTTCACAGAGAAGAAAACCCTTGACAAATGACAATACTAAAAAAAGTTATTTGTTTATTACAGTACTGTGCTGCAACTGTGCAAGTGAATTTAGAACTCTGCCTTTAAACTTTTCTTTTGCTATTTTCTAATGTCTGAACTTGACCCATCAGATAGTAAAAATTGTAAAGAATATGGACTGTTAATGTTTCTGAGTTACTGCACATCAATATGACTTACCTTTATAGCCTCCATTTAAATAATTTACTTTTTAAAACAATTATATTGTGTGACGAACTAAATTTTATTCTAACGCGTTCTGTCCTGGACCTTTTAAAACTTGAATAAGTGGTTAAAGCAGGTAGGACCATTCTGAAAGGGAGGTGAAAGAAACTGCCTGAAACCATCATACATAGTTTTTAAAATTTCATATTCCACTAAGCATTTGTACTGTATCACTACGTGTGTCCAGCAGCAACTTTAAGCAGAAGGAATGTGAAAGGAGCTTTACAGTAATAACTTTCTGTCAGCTCTTTTCAAATTTACAGACATGTAATGTATTCCCGAGGGAAATTCAATAAAGAAAAAGCAGGAGATAAGATAAATGCATTTTAAATTTAACTAAGCTAAAACATAAATGGCAGCAACTTAAATAATATAGGCAAAATGAATGACCAACACCTCTTTTTAATCATGTGTCGATAACGTTGTTTGTTAAACTATGTTGAATTGAACTGGAGACTTTTCCCAGTTTGATCCCCTGTTTAAGCATAGTCCTTTTTGTATTCTCTCAGCATTTAGAGGTTATCTTTTAACAGAGCATGGAAAGATCTAAGTGCTTACCTACTTCCAACAGCTAAATCCTCATGCACTACATGGACCATTTATTCCTGAATTACAACTCATTTCAGATAAAATAAGTACAGACAGGAGACTATAATCAATTGGACAGAAGACCTTTGAAGGACAGCCTTCAAACTTTTGCTCTCAGGAACTATGCTGTAAGGTGATGTGCCAGTCCTGCACCTACCACTTCCACAACTAAAGCCAGGTATACACACAAACCGGTATAACTGACTGAAAACCACAACAGAACAGAAGTTTGGCACACACAGACTGGTTTAAAAATGGCAGAACCCCATCTTAGATAGACTTGGATGGATGTAGCATCAGACTTTAGCAATTTAGGTTAGACAAGTCTATCAAAATTCTGTACTAGATCCTCTAGAGACTAAAGTTAGGGCACATTCCCCTGGCCTCCTAGGCTGCTTTGCAGGTCCCTGCTAACTCCCCATCACAGGGCAGCACACTAGCCTTGTCCCATTGTTGTCTGCTCTGGCTGAGCAGGCTCTCATGGCTGTTAGTGTCAACTGCACAGTGTGGGGGAGGCTTAGTTATAATAGCAAGAACAAGCATCCCCCTGCCAACACATTCACACACATGCATGTCCATTAGGTGCCCTGAGGAGTGAGTGTAGTGCTGAAGAGGGGTGGGCTGGGTGTACAGGGTCACAGTGCTAGTAGGTTGGAAGGTAAGCAGTGTGTGTGTGTATCCATGCCCTTCCCATGCCAGCAGTGTGTGGGCACCGCGGGCTGGGCTGTCAGTGTGATCGGGGGGCACCCAGCTGCACCCTGCATTCATACCCCAGGATGTGTGTGTATGTGTATCTGGGTGAGACTCACTGCACAGTGCACACTCCAAATAGTAGCAGCTGCAGGAAAAGGCAGCATGTGGGGGGATGGAACCTGAAGCAGATGCTGGGCCTGATGTTGAGCTTCCCCCTTTGTTCCCCAAAGCCCTTCTCCCAGGCAGCAGCAGGACTTAGCAGAGGTCTCAGCCTCCTTCCTCCCACCCTTCACCTGAGCCGGGCACTTCACCTACTCAGATTTGCACTCAGGCTAGGTGGGCTGGATCTAATCATGCTGCTTCCACTGCTGCCAGTTCCTCTCTCTGTCCCTGGGTAAAGGGATTTATTTATTAATGTCCCATGATGTGTCCAAGCAGCAGCAAAGAGGAGTTGGAGGGAGCCCTCGGCTGGGGAGCTGAGCTGGGCGTGATGGCTGCTGCTGCTCCTGACCTGTCATTGCTGCTGCTGTGTGAACAAGGCTCCAGGCTGCTTGGGAATGGTGTTGAGGGTAGCAGCAGTGGTGGCAGCTACAGCATCACTTGGTGGGTGGAGTGGAGGCTTCTCCTGGAGATGCCTTCTGGGCTACCCAATCCAGCTCTTCAGCTGGTTTGGTGCACTCGGAGGGGAGCAGAGGAGCCTGCCAAGGACAGAGTGGGAGGGTAGGGAGGCAGGTAAGTGGGGGCTGCAGCAGGGTGGGGCTCCCCACTCTCCTGCAGGGGCAAGAGGCACCTGCAGTGGCTGCAGGCAAGGCTGAGACCCCAGGTCTCCAGCCAGCACAGTTGAGGAGGGTCTGTGTAGTGGGGGCCTCCATTTCCCCCACACTGCTCAGCATGGCTGAGATCTGGCACAACCTGCAGCCTTGCTTCCTGCCTATTGCTGTCAGCCAGGTTGGGCAGTATGGTGGGAGGGAATGGAGGCTCCCACCATATGGGCTCCCATCTGTGCTGGCTTGAGTCTGGGGGGCATGGCAGGGGGCTCTACTCCC